TCTTCCTACAGAAAAGACAAAAATGTGAGACCTCTGTTCAAACAATGGATGGTCACAAACAAGCAGACAATGGTCTTTCAGCAGAAGATAAGCGTAGGCTTTAATAGCCTGCTGCTTACCTGTAAGGGTGAGGGAACGGGATGGTAGGTGACCTCTGGTTCACTGTCTGAACAGAAGCTGCTGCTGCAAACTTTGAGGCTATGCCTTTAAGGTGATGAAAGCTGGAAATTTCACCAAGGAAAAGGTAGGAAGTGCAGCACAGAGCCTTTCCTCACGAACACCTCACTCAGCGTCTGCTGCTGTTTCTCCAGCACGCTGAAACGTCCCATCCATCCTACCGCAGCACTCTTGGGCCTTTCCATAACCTCACTCTGCTTTACTCACCCCCTGAACCTACTCACCCTGGCAAGTTAAGTGTCAGCTTTGAGTACAGATTCAGTACGAGCTCACTCCCGTGTAGGACCTTCCACGACGCTTTTTTTTTTTCAGAACCTTCAACCTGGAAGTTGAAAACAAAGCAAGACTGGCTTGAGTCATGAGCCAGAGGGTCTGGCAGCTGAGCCATGAGTCGAGTTTGCTGCAAAGAAGTGTCAGCAGGAGCAAATCGCTAGCCCCATCTTTCTCAGGGTTCACCCCCTGTGCCCACGCACACAAACACATTACAGCGTGTTAATCATTCGACCTGTTACCTATGTGGATATTCCCAGTTAGAAAACCATAGAATCATTGAAAAGTGTAGGTGGGAAAGGATCAAACTCTGCTCCAAGAAGTGCGAACGTCAAAGCTAGATCAGGTTGCTCAGGGCTGTGTCCAGCTGAATTTTGACTGTCTCCAAGGACAGAGATTTCCCCCGCCTCTCTGGGTGCCCATCCTAATGTTACATCAGTCATGGAAAGACTTCTTCCCGTGTCCAGCTGCAATTTCCCTTGCTGCAGCTCCTCATGTGAGCCTGCATGCCTGGGATTGCTATTTTTTATAACAGGAAGGATCTGGTCCTGCCTTGTAGCACCTTTTTAGGGCAATCCCTCCTCTGGAAGTTATCAGTTACCCTTCAGATAGCTCTGCTGGAAGCAGAACTTACCACTAGTCTCTTAGACAAGTGCCAGTTAGGTATCTATTACCATTTACTGAACTTAGTTTTAAAATGTCAGGCCAGGCCTTCAGCTCATACAAGCTGTTCCTGTCTTGGGAGAAGTTGATGGACAGGCTGAGGATCTGCAGTGAGCACCACGGCTGTGCTTCTGCTCTGACTTACCAGGCAAAGCCTTGCGTTGACTTTTGAGGGACTCCACCACCCAGAAGTCCTCCTTCACCCAGAAGACCATCAAGACCAAGTAGACTTCCATTGCCTAGGAGACCTGCTTTTCCAAGCAGGCCTGTGCCAAGCAGACCCTCCTCTCCAAGAAGACCTTTATTGCCAAGTAGACCATTGCCGAGGAGACCATTGCCGAGGAGGCCTTCCCCACCAAGGACGCCTGTGCCTATCAGACCGTTGTTGCCAGGCTGTCCTCCTGCAACAGTCAGACCTTCATTACTAAACTAGCTTTAATAGGTACGAAGCCCTCCTCTCCCAAGCATACCCATGCCTAGTAGACCTTCCTCACCTAGGAGGCCTGAGCCAAGGAGTCCAGTTCTGCTGGATTCATTTCCTGCTCCAGGGAGGCCTTTGCTTCCTTTTCCACTTGGACCTTCTTTGCCAAGAAGGCCCGTACCAAGTAGACCACCTTCACCGAGAAAGCCTGTGCCAAGCACTCCACCTTTTCCACCGAGCAAGCCTTCACTGCTGAGAATGCCAGCACCAAGCAGGCCTCCTGTACCAAGTAAGTTTCAGTTACTAATTCAACTTTCATTGTTGGGAAGAATTTCATTGACAAGGAAGTGTGATTTAGCAATGTCAGGGTGACCTGCCAAGCAAGGAGAGCCGTTGCTGGACTGGCCTCTGAGACTGAAAAGATTTGCTTTTTTTGTGCAGGAGTATCTATTCCAGGTTCATCTTCATGTCCTGTGTCAGACAAACTGTACCTCTCAGAAGGTCTGTGCCAGGCACATCTTCATTGTTCAAAATATCTTTGCCAGCCAAAATGTTTCCCTGTGCATCTTTACTGCAAAGTGAATCTTATGCACCAAGCAGGCTGAGAAGTTCTGCTTTGGGCAATAGCTCAGACCTTGCACACCTTCATTGCCAGCAAGGCCTATGAGGGGCACAGCTTTGCTTCCAAGCTGTGTGGAGCACACGTTTGCTAAGACCCCCCCACCCATCTGGCATCAAAATATCAGTGCTGTGTACTCTGCACCTGCCAAACAGTTCTGTGCCCAGAAGATCTCCTCGGCCAAAAAGACCTGGATCCTGGGCACTTGGACTGCAGCATGTACTTTTCTTAACCCTTCCCCGACACCCCCCAGCCCCCCACATCCACCCACCCACCCCTTCTTGCAGATGATCCAAAAAAAGTTAAAGAAATGAAAATGCTTCATCACATCACATCTTCCCCATCCCTACCAGGTTTCGTACGTCTTACCAGCATTTCATTCTGACAAAGCAAGCATTCCGGTATACCTTTCCCTCTTAGTTAAACACTGCTACAGATGGAACGAATCTCTCTGAAGTTTCTTCTCCACAAGGGCAACTCTGTGCCAGGAAAGTCAGGGGATCTCCCGTCCCGTGTGGCATGCCACTTGTGTAAAGCAAGGGGAATCCTGCACCCTTCGAAGCCAAGGGCTTTGCCACCAGCTTCTGCAGGACGTCATCCAGGCACAGACACTTGGGGCTCAGCAAAAAAAAAACAAGTGGAAGAGTGAGGGGGAGGGATACTAATTCGCTCTAGATGAGTATTTGCTTTTGAGTAGTTTTTGAATAGCTTTGTTTTTTTTCTGTCACACTGGCAGGGGAGGCTTGTGGACTCTCCTAGCTCGCTGCAGTCACCAAAGACCTGCAAAGCCTTGTGGGTGGCTCGGTTCCCTAATGGAGCCAAGCCTGCAAGGAGCAGGTCATCCACTTCCCAGGACCACCGCAAAACACAAAAAAAAAACCCTTTGAACTCACCATCTCCAGGTCGTGCTGGACTTAACCCAAGAGCGCTTCCCAAGTTGAGGAGACCTTGGGAGGGGGGCAGCAAACCCCAGAGAATGGCAAGGCAGCAGCAGCTCAGCATGTCCTGTCCCGGCACCTGCTGAGAGCCACGTCAGCCTGAGCACCACCGGTGGCATGGACCCCCTTGCCAGCCTGGGGCACCAGTCTACAGTGATCGCCACGCCATCCACCCTGCTCGCGCTGGCAAGGTCCACTGCTTCGAGCTGCCACGGAGCAGCTGAAGCATGGTAACATCTTACTGCAAAGCAATTCATGTGTTCAAGCCCCCGGCGCAGGGGAAGTCGGTGCCCGACATCGCAGGGGCACTTAGAGGAAGAAAATAACATTTGAATCAAGCAAGAGGGAAGGAGCCACGACGGAAAGACCTTGTTCAGAGAGAGATGGGTCACTTTAGCCTGCTCAGAGATGACCCTGAAATAAGAACACTTAAATGGGCACAGCCAGATAGAAAATTACATGTGACAAAATCATGCCCTTCTCTACGTTATGAGTAATACCTTACATTATTAAGGCTCAAAGTGCAGCCAAAATCAGATTCATTTTTCCATGGCTGAGTTGTTTGTTTTTCTCATTTTGTTCCATTAGCTTATGTAAACAGCCCACTTTTTGTGTATTTGATCCGCTTTCATTCAAAAGAAATCACCTTCAAGGACCTCATGTTCTTGCACCATTTGGTCTATTTGGGGCTGCAACTCTCACTGTGGAATGTTTGTTTATGCACATAACTGTGTTTGCAGAGAAATCAAAAAAGGCAATCACTGAAGCATTTCTATAGGGCTCAAATTTAACAAAACGTATGCCTGCAAAATCCACGTTGTGGTCCAAATAAGGCTAGCATTGTCTCTGCAGTGAAAGACAACGTACAATCTGCATATTGCAGAGTTTCAGCACTAAGAAATAATATTATTTAGGTCATACTGAACAACTTCTTTATCTGTTCCAGATACTTTTAAAAATCCCTTTATGACAGTTTTTGGCACAATTAAATTAGACTTTAATTCACTAGACTGTCTTTTACATTCTCCCTTTGATCAGCATGTAATGATGCACAGCTCCTGTGGCTGTGATTATTGAACAGAAGAGAAAGATAGAGGCTTGAGCAGCTTCGATTGAAAATTGTGTCAAATAAAATCAGCAGGATTTGTTGGAGGGTCTCTGCAAGACGTGGATAGCATTGTAAAAGGATGCCAAAACGGTTTTCAGGTCTTTTAAAGGAGCTCTTGGAGAGAATACGTGATGAAGTAGACAAATATCTATGCAGTCACTTAACTAGCTCTGTCTGGTTAGTACATCTGCTTGGTCACTTGCAAAAATGCACGTGCAAGATGTCCAGCTCACGTAAATGTGTGTACAGCTTTGCAGATAAACACTCATTTTGTGCCAGCTGAGATAAGATCTGGTAAATTCAAAATTGTTTTGAATGCTGGTCACCAAGAACATTTAAAAAATCCTAGTCATTTCTGCTAGTTTAATCATGATAATAAACTGAACAACAAAAATAGATGTGGAATTTGACAAGCAAGAGCTCCACTAGCTTTAAAAATTAATTTTCATGAATGATTAAATGCTGCTACAGAAATCAAAGGAAAATATCATTAAAATTCTTGCTTTTTTAGGGCTGAGTTCCGCTTTGCTGTAGGTCGTGTAACGGGAACGCGAGCGGTGTGGCTGCGGCACCTCTGCGTCTCTTACCTGGCTGCCTTTGATGTGCGGCGCGCTGCCCACGGCCTCTCGCTGCTGCGGGGAGGGAGCCGCTCTTATATACCCAGCAGTGTACAGGAATGAGGAAAGGAAAAGCAGGGATGCAAGTAGGCATAAACGCGTTTCACGGGCTGCGAGGTGCAAAGGCAGCACAAGCCTGACCCTGCAAACCACACGTAGCAGCCATGATGCCAAGCAGGGAGCACAAGCCAAGTCCAGCTGGGTTTCTGCAGAAGCCTGGTGGCATTTGCTAACCCCGTTCCTGCAGCCTCAGGGCCATGTCTCACCAGCTTCTGCGCCTGCCCGGGCTCCGATCCCACCCCGGCCCCTGGAGCAAAGTGTTTTGCCTGTCCTGGCCCCAGCACTGGGCTCTGGCAGGCTGCAGCACTAGGAGGTGCATGATGGTGGCCCCTGTGCAGCCCCCTGCAAGCCTGCACCCCGGGACCCCCAGGAGCCCTGCCAGGAGCCTGCACCTGCGGGACCCCCGGGATCCTCCGCTCCAGATGGGAGTCGTCCGCCCTGTGCAGAGCTGAGGCTCCACGACCTCCTGTTCATCCCTGGGGAGCAAAGGGCTGAGCTCAGTCCTCAAGGTAATAGACTCCAGAGAGCTTGTTGGCCACGGGGTAGATTTCTTTTTTTACCCCCCAATCCCCTGCGGCACAGCACCACCCGTGGGCTCAGGAGGCTCCCAAGGCTGTGACAAGGATGCATCCCTGTGCAGGAGCCTGCACAGAGCGAGCCAAGGGAAGGACAGCATGTCCAGCAGCATCCATCTGCCTGGAAACACTGCGCATTTCAAAGCACAGCGTGCCTCAGGGAGGTGGCCTTCCCGCAAAGCCGCCTGTGCCAGACCTGTGGATTCAGCGAAAGGAATAAGGAACTTGGCTGTGCTCTATGCTGGGGTTGTGGCCCTGGTGCCAGCGCTCAGCAGCAGACTGGGCATGCCAAGCAGGTGAGGAGCAGCACCGGGATCTCCAGCGATGACTGCAGGTAGGCCCTCCCATGCTATGGAAGGACACTATCCTCCACTGGCCTGCTCGAGGCACAAAACTCCCCCACCAAGTTATGGCCTTTCGGACTGCTCACAGCAGGGCTGAGGTTGGCAGGGACCTCTGGAGATCACCTGGTCCAACCATCCTGCTCCAGCAGGGTCACCTAGAACAGGCTGCCCAGAACCAGATCCAGATGGATTTGAATATCTCCGAGGATGGAGCCTCCTCAGCCACCCAGCTGAGGACAGAGTGAAGGTGCTGCATGGCTCTGGCACCAGGAATGCACCAGCAGCGCCAGCCTGGACGGCGTCCGTCTCTGTCGCGCCCCCTGCCAGTGCCAAGGCCTTCATTTGGGTTTCCAGAAGATGTTGCTCTTTGGGGTTAGCAGCAGCAAACTCGACATCCTGCCTTTGAAGGAGAATGAAGAAGCACACAATGCCACGAAACCCGCAGGCAGACCTGCTCACCTGCCTTCGGGGAGCTGCCTGCTCCCGCACTGGCTGGGGCCCGGCTCCACCGGCTCTGCAGCCGCCCCTCGCCGTGTCCGCACCTCCGCTTCCTCAGCTGCCGAGGAAAGGGTGAGCAGGAGACGAAAGCAGTCACCTCCGCCCCAGGGAAGCTGGCAAAAAACATATAATGGAAGCAATCTGCAAAGGAGAGGGGTGTTTCGGGACAGCTGGGTCATCAGAAGAGGCGCATCTGCGCTTTTCACAGATTCCCACAATAGCCTAAACCTGAGCAAGAGCATTAGTTTCCATTTCAGCTTTTCCTCTTGCTTTTGCCTCTTTTATTTTTACTTCCATTTCATATAGTTCTGATTTTACTCATATATTAAAATATATGTTTGTGCGTATGCGTATTTTAATTTCTTTACCTAATACTTCAGACTTTATAGATTTTTGTGCCATGTTATCAGAGCAATTCCCTTCCATGAGAACACTTTCATGTTCTCAGATGTAAATACTTCAGTCATTCATCCCATAAAACACCTCGTGATGAACTTTTCAGGGCCAAAACAAACTCTGAAATGTGGGAATTTCCTGTTGAAGATGCACAACATTTTCCAGCAAACTCTGCTGGCAAAGTGAGCAGAAGGACACGGCTCCTGGCCAGGCGGGATGCTGCAGCCAGCGCGTGGCCGCGTGCGCCTGCGAGAGGCTTTAAAGAGCGGATGAAATGTGTTCGGAGGGTTTTTTTTTTTTTTCCTTTTTTCCCAGTTCAGCCAAGTGGATTTTTGGATGCTCTCAGGCAGAAGCTCCCCACAACGCCCAGCGCCAGGAGCTGAGCGCTGCAGCAGCACCGGCCCCCACCAGCAGCGCTAGCCCAAGGGCTCCCACGCTGCCTCGACCCTGCGCCGTTGCCCCGGGGCTTGGCCATGGCT